GCAAGTTTGATGTTCCGCAACTCTCCTTGAATGTCCCAAACCGCAGGCAGTCAAGGCGACCTGCACTGCTCACATTGAAGGCAGCTGTCATGTTGTTTGCAGCTAAACACTCAGAGATTGCAGAACCTGCCACTTTGAATAAGCTGCTTTCAGACCAGCCTACTCCGGACCCCCAAACTCACAGCCATCTAACCAAATGCCAATCGAAAAGCAAGGAATGTGGCGGGAACCGTGCCGGGCCTCTCACCAGCTGTAGCGCTCGGCGCCCTCCAGGCTTCAAGTTGCTTGTCCACAGGCTGCCATTTGGATCCTTGTAAGGTGTGGCTTCTGCAGTCTTTGCCATGCATGAAAGGGTCCGTGCAGGGAACCGCCATAGCACGCTTCTCGCTTGCCTTGCTCACACTTGGTGGATGTCTTAACAGGTGTGCACGACAGGCTCCCGGGTCCGCGAAGGGCGTGTGGTTTTGTGGGACAGGTCCTAGCAAGCTCGAAGAAAGCTCCTGAAGCCTCCGAACCGTGTTTCGCCGGGTGGAGGCGATAGTGTCGTTGATGACAATGGCTGGCGATCCAGCATTCGAAGGCCAGGATGGTCTAGAGGCTCAGTTATCGAATGAGCACTTTGAGGACTATGCAGCTTGGGATCTGGCTTTCATGTTTCAGGTTTTCAGCATGTGAAGACGGAGTTCAGCAGGGAAAGCAGCCCGTTGTACGCAGCCTATTCAACACTCAGCTTTATGATGGGCACGCAGACGCATAAGATTGTATGTAAGCATTCTGCTCATGTTGTTTTCCATAGCTGTGACTGTCCGCTTGTGTCTGACTTCCGAATTGCATCACAAAGTTCGTGGACAACTGGCAAAGCTTGTTGTAAACAAGTAGTTGATGACACGAGATAGTAGAAAAGCGGAAACAAGCCAAACTCCAAAGTTAGATCAGTGCAAGAGAATTCCCACGCAACGTAAGCGAGTGACCACCCAAGACCCAGGAAATTAAAAAATCAAGGGAAAACCTGCTCACCCTGCAGGCATCCTGTCGTCCTCTCTCCGCCTGCCTGTTGGCGGTCGAATTCATCCAGAGGCTGCTTTCTAGCTAGTGAGATAGGTTTTGGCAGGGGGGTGTACCTAAACCCTAAATAGTAGTTTCCATTTTATTTTCCATAATCCCTATATAACCCCAATGTAAGATGCGAAGGGTAGTGGATCTTAAGGCAGCAGGTACCATGGTCCAAACATGCAACCTTCTTTTTGGTGGAACTCTGACGTAGAAGTTGCTTCGAAGAGGTCCTAAAACTGCTCAATCTCCGCGTTATCAGATGCTTTATGTTGAGGCACCTGGCATGTAGTTGCAAAGGTACAATGTGCTTCAGTGCGAGATGCACGAGCTTAGAGGTCTTTGTCTTTGGACCCTAGCCTGAAACAAGGCTTTACAGAGTCTCTGAATGTTTTCTGGTTCTGACTGGTTACGTCATTCCCAAGGGGCCAAGCGAAAGCTAAATGCAAATTCTAACGAGTTTGCTGGGATCACAGGTCCTGTTGAGCATGCTGTTCTTTTATGTGAGGATAGATTGGTGGAATCGGAAGTGCGCTCTAGCTGACTTGCGCACACGTGGAGATCCAGGGCTTTGCAAGCTGCGAACACAAGCACTCCTAAGAAGCTACCAGTCTAACTGGATGGTGATGGTGCTTCCCGGAAGGCACCCTTCCTCTTCGGAGCTGTCCTCTATGCACCTTGGCCTGTTGTTTCTCCCCACTCACAGTGGGATTGTTTTTTATTTCAAGGAGAGTATGCTATGCTAGCCCTTCGTGCACGGCACCTAACCGCAAAGTATCCCTGCAGTGCCCGACGGCAGGGTATGCCTGCAGTGCCAGAGTGTAGGGTATCCCTGCAGTAGCATCCCTCGTCCCAGACTGCAGAGTATTCCCCTGCAGTGGCCAACCGCAGAGCACGGCCTGAACCGTTGTAAAAGGCCCTTTACAGCCCTTGAAGCCCCTTTGAAAAGACGACTTTATGTTGGCCTCTAAAGGACCCTACATAGCCTTTCTAACCCCTTTGAAGGGGACCCTGTGCAGGCCTTAAAAACCCGCTGTATAGCCTTTATCACCCCTTTAAACAGGCCCTATGTCGGGCGCATGCCCCCTTTAAAGAGATCCTACATAGCTTTTAAATGGACCTATGTAAGCTCTGCAACAGAGCCTATGTAGGTTTATACAAAAACGGAAATCTTTATGTCCCGGGAGATTGGCTGAGTGAGATTAACCACAATCGGTCAACGACCCCCAGTGCTGGACAACCGCACTTTAGGGTGGGGATGCTCGAAGTAAATGATGTGCTCCTGGTCCGGCAGTACAGTAAGGTCATAGGATCAGTCTTTGAATGCTTTGCAGCTGCAGCTGCTCTCATGCTTCTCGGCGTGAATTTCCATGTCTGCTTCTTGCATAGGACATGTTTTGCTGCCCTGGCCATCTTTGCCTCCACTGCCGTAGCAACGATCAAGGTGCTTGTACACCCCGAGTAACACCTGTAATAATAAAAAGATCTGCCCAGCTTGTGTTGCTCGTTTAGTGCATGGCTTTCGGCTTTTGCTAGCGGTAGCAGCTCCGCACTGGCTAGGAGGTTCTCCTCTGAGCTTAATGACCTGGAATCGAGCTTACTCCATGATCATTTAACGCTTGACATCAAAGAGATGTAGCATGCTCATGGCTGAGGTCGTGGCGGTCATCGTCCTGCTGTGTGTTCCGCGCGAGCTTTTCGATAGGGGGCTGTGACGAAGCGCAGATGTTTTGTTTGCTCCTGCTGCAAGGCCGCAAGTGAGACATGTCTGCTAAGCTCGGAACAAGTACGCTGACCGAAGAGCTGCAACCCGGGGTTGGTACCGTAACAGGGTCGTTGGACACAAATCTTCGGTGGGATTCCAGAGGATCCTCGAACACATATCCCAGCAGTTTATGTATATCTTTGAAGGATAGGCTAGTGCTTTGCTCATCCAAACAGCACAAGCCGGAAGAATGCAAGGCCCTGGTTGTGCATGTGACGCACTCTGCAATTCTTGCTCGGGATGCCGCGCACGCCGTAAAGTCGGTATTCGTCAAGCATTCATACATGTTGTTATGTTTGTGTCTGTATTGTCACAAAAATTGAGAGGGTTTGAGGGTTAGAGAACGAAAGAAAGAAAAGAGGGACGAAAGAAACAAACAACGAAAGGAGGTAAGGAAAGATGCAAGGAAGAAAGAAACCTAGACAGAACGAAAAAAAATCACAGTGTCAAGGAATCACAGTGTCAAGGAAACCATCATCACAGAAAGAGGCGCAGACATGAAGGAAGCAGTACAGACAGGCATGCTTGGGGCTTTGCCCCCGCCCTCTCCATTGGGAGGGTATAGCAGTGAGAAGAAGAAGAAGCACGAGAGAAACAGCGACAGCGATAGCGAGAGAGAGGAGCGAGAGGGAGCCGGACAGAGGGAGAACGGAGAGAGGGAGGTCCTAGCTGGATTGTATTCCTACGGCTTTGCGCATAAGTTCGCATAAGGCGTGCCTTCATCAACGTTGGCAGCGACAAATATGTCTTGTGACCGGGTGGAGGTGGGGCAGCTCCCTGGAAAAAGTATCGACGCGTGCGCAGCCAGCAAGAGGTTCCGCGTTTCACCTTTTTGCTGGTTTTTGCATCATCGTCTTGGTAGGCTTTGGTGTTATGCTGGGCATTTTTCGGAAGTCTACAGGCCGAACATGTCAATACACTATGCATCAGTAAGCCCTAGCCCTAGCCCACAAGGATGACTTTCAACAAGAGTCCTTCTTACTCCTAACCCGAGCTCATTTGCGTAGGCGTGGATTCCATTAAGTTCGATAGGGAATTGCGCAGTCCCTCGGCCCTCCTTAGAGCCGTTAGAGCACATTTTTCTTGCGATGCTCGAGGTAATTGCCCAGCTCTCATGTGATCGTGCAATGTACAAGGGAGATATCACACAGACTAAGGGACCCAACCCTCAATCAAACTCCCAGTCCCTATGCGCGCCCTGGCTTTTCAGGCTTTAACGATTTTAGACGTATGCTCTAGCGCACAGACCAACCTGCAGCAAGGGAACTCAGCGCAAAATATCTACTCCTAAGCCCACATGCGTGCGCACCGCCGTGGCCATTGCCCCAAACGCCCAGCGTTTAACATGTCAAGCACTGTACAACTAAAGAAAGGCAACACAAAACCGAACTTCCATGGCTTTTTTGCTTTTCACGCTGCTGGGCGTTTCGCTGCCAACTGTTCTTGCCCAATTCCACGGGGAGCCGCTTGCCAGGACCATTCAGACCGTGTGAGAGCCTTTCACGCAGCAGCTTTAAGATCAGAAAGTCTTTGCACGACAAGGCTGCAAGACTCAACCCATCAGTCAACACGTTAATGCTCATTCAGAGCTTGCACCCGATGTTTTAGTACAGGCTGAGGACATGCTTCAGCCAAGGGGAGGAGGGCACGAGAAAAGGTTTGGAGGGCTGCCTATGACGCGTACTATCCCTTTGAACGTCCCTGCTACACCCGGCCAGCTTTACCTTGGAGGCCTCCCCCAGAGCAAGGTGGTAGAAGCAAGAGGAAGAGAGTCCTGTCAGGGTCCTTCTGAGCAGACTCCTGTGAACATACCAAACCCTATACTATAAGATACCATAATAACTGCAAGATACTACAATATACCGTAATATACCATAATATACCATAATAACTGCAAGATACTACAATATACCATAATATACCATAATATACCATAATATACCATAATGCACCTCGAATGTCCGGTGCCGAAACATAAGGGCTCAGATTCTAGCTGGGAGTTAGTTGCCATGGACAGTCGGATAGCTTGATCTAGACGTTTGTCAGCTGCAGTCAGATGCGAGATGCGAAGCCAGGCCAATCTGTGTTCCTCAGGGTAGGATCGGAGTTCGGTGACCCTGTATGGAGGCAGGGCCTGGTTGTGAAACGGCATTCTTCAGCACGAATGTTGATCATGGTCCGGGCAATGGAGCATGGCATGAAGACCGAAGAAGGGGAAGTCACGCTCTACAGCTTGGAGCACCGAAAGTTCATGCTAGTGGAAGGGAGTGCGGGGCAGCTGAAGGAACTTCCGCCAGACGAGCCGTTCAGCAGTTTAGAGGTGAAACCAACAGTGTTGC